GTTGAGATACTTACTGACCTGCTTGACTTTGGTTGCTTTGCACTAATGGCATATTTGATGGGGTTTACCCATTTGACAAATTAACTGAGCAATTAGCAAAATAAATTTGATTTTGGAGAACATCAGAGAGTACAGTTCCTTTCAATCTATAAAGAAGATGCAGAATATCATCACACAGTGTGAGTGACTCAAAACTTACCTTTATCCAAAAACTTTTCAGTGTATTGAAAGAAGCCAACTGCTGCAATCTGTATTATCTCTTGGACTAAGAGAAGAAATAAATAAGTGATTTTTAGGGAGAACCTCTAATCAGTCTAGCTCCATGTAAACTCTATTTTCTCCCCTGCAAAAGAGTAGGGAAGTAGACAATAAGCCAAAATATCTGACTTGTGAATAGAAATTACAGGCACACGTCATCTCCAGCAGAGGTATAATGAATAACTTTGAAGGAGGTATCTCATCTCCAAGGAGAGAGATTCAATTTTTGTTACTAAAGTGTACACTTCTTACATAACTGGTTGACAGACATGACTGGCATTTTGTTTGCATATTTGACTAATCTGTCTCCATAGTTCTTTGTCTGGTGTTGTCTGTGAGCTCTGTTGCAGAGGAGTATATAGGGGTTTTTTGGTTTTTTTTAGACCCTTCCAAGATTTCTGCTTTCAATAAAAAACTCAAATAGGTAATAAAATGTTATGCTAATTCTATAGTCTGCTAAATATAAATTATCTGCAAATTTGTGCATTAATTTGCATAAATAGTTTTAAGATATGCTATGCAGTGTCATAGATTTGGATTTTTTTCAGCAGAGGCAGTTTCGGTCATCTTAGTTTAGTCAAACTTGCTACGACTTGTCTCACATTTGCATTTTAGTTGAAGAGATAAAACTGTATTACCAACCCAAAAATGCTGAAGAGTTTATGTCTTAGATCATTACTTACTATTGAGGTCAAACTTTGCTATGTTTAATACCTGAAAGACACAGGTAAGGAGTTTCTGAACATTTCAAGAAGAATAGTCCTTGGTCTGTTAAGTAAATCAGCCTGGAGTAGGTATATCCTCCAGAAGCTGTCTGGGAGGGCTTCCACAGGTTTGGAACTGAATTAACTTACCTTATATGGAGGCATAGAAGGGCAGTGAAGCATCAGAAAACTGTGAAACCAATTGGCAGTGAGCCATCTGTTAAGCAACCACAACTACGTCAAAGATATCTAAAAATGTATCAGTTGGTTTGGGAACATAATGCCCTAACTCCAATTAAAAGACATGTTGAAAACAATCAAAAATGTGTTTTAAAATAAATTATCTTTATTCATATAGCTATAAAATATAAGAAGAACTGCGCTTATAGACATTGTTAGGAAGTCCTGGATAGTTATATGAAATACTTAATTGTTATTCTCTACTTTTCCTCTCTGGAGTAGAAACTACCATTTTATTTCAGTCCCATTGTCTCTCTCCCTAGTTCCCCCACAGCCTGACATTTCTATCAAGTCCTGTCTTACTTTTTGCTTCTCGTGAGTTTTTCCATTATGTATTTTATTGTTTGTCCAAGCCACTTTGTGCAGTGTTATTTCCATCCTACTGACTGTTCACTCACCCCTTGCTCTACCCTCATTCCTGACCTTTTGATAATTCTGCTGCTCGGACTTCCTTTCTGCAATTCTCCCTTTCCACTTAGGCTTCCTTCTTCCCACATTTCCTTCTCCCTTCTAAATGACAAGCCTTAGCGTTTTTTGCAACCTCCAAACTGTCCTTTCTACATTTCTCTACCTTCAAGTGCTTCTGCTTCTGTGGAACCCCTCTTTTCCACCTCTTTCTTGTATGCATCTGTCTGCTTTGCACTTTGACCTTAGGCAGGAGAAACTGGGGACACTTTTTGCTGTCATTTAATATTTTATGCCAATTTATTCCAGTATTTTCCACCTACTTTTTATATAGTCATCAGCCTGAGGTTTGAGAAATCAGTGTGTAGCTTCAGTCTGTACAAAGGCATCAGTGTGAGAGCTCTGAATGAAATCTCCTCATTTTTTCCTGCTTCTGCCCATATAGTAGTGTTGTCATCACTGTTTGTAAGAGAGACAGGGGCAACAGCCTTGATTTGTGGTTTGTTTTAGCCAACACTATGGCCCTGTGCCACAGGCAAAAACTGACTGATGGTGAGACTACTGAGGTAAAAATGCCTGAATTCAGCCTTGCTAGAGTCCTGGTAAAATGTGAAGGTGCTGAGTCACTAATTCTTCAGTAATTTACATGCAGGTAGATGTTGGTACCAGACAGTTAATTCCTGAGCTGGATGCAGATGGAAATCTAGTTTTGACTCTCTTCCACCCTTAGCTCAAAGCTGAAATAAGTAACAGAAAACTCTTCCACCAGCACTTTGGAACATTGTTAGGTGAAACAGAGTTGTTACAGATCGATACAAAGTATCTACAAATCACTGCATAACTGCTAATTTCATTCATATACATATAGCTAGCTAATCAAGAGTGTGCTTCCCAGTGTGATGGTGATTTCTGTTGCTGTATGCTGCACATTTTATGTCATGTTATTTGAGGACATCCCAAGAGTGGACTTACCAGTGGCTGATTTCAAGACCAGATGTCACTGTAAAAGTTGTTTACTTAGCAGCAGCATTTTTTTTGTTGTGTTTTTTTTTTTTTACATCCATCCAGTCAGGCTGCAAATATGAAAACGGGAAGCATTCCCCTGTTTGTAGAAGTCTGCCTGCAGTAATAAATGTAAGCATATATATTTTGAAACAGTTATTTTTAGAAACTTCTGTCAAGGGCTGTCCTGCTGTTTGGACTTTCTGCCCTTTCAGGTTTTGTTGCTTAGTCTATACATTTTTAATAATCACATTGCCTGCTAGCAGTGACATTTTGTGAAGGTCATTTTTCTTGTGAGGTTGGAGAGTGGACTGGAATTTCATTGAAGGACTCCCTGAGCTGCAGGATTGTTGTTTATGGAACTGTCTTGCATCTCGTACTACCTTTGAAGCCTGTTTAGAATTTTAACTAATGATATCTTCAAAGTGTCACTGTGCTCAAGGGCAAAAAAGAAATCTCAAAATGTACTTTATATTTAAAACCAGTTTTGAATAGCTTTGAAGGATGGTATTAGCTGAAAATAAAAGGCATAGATATAGACTTACTACGTATGCGCACACAGAGAATTCCATATTTCATCAACTTTTTCATTGTCAACAAGGTGCTCCTTCACCATCGCAATGCCTTTTTCTTCTGTACTATAAAAATCATCATGTCTATGAAGAGTGTTAAAAATTTTTAATGTGATTGATAATTTAATACCTCAGCATGTATCTTTAGACAATCTCCCTCAGTGGAGAGGTTTTAGTTTTTCCATATCATTCCTAGCCTCCTGCTTCTCATTTCGCCTGTGTAGAAATACAGACACTGGGCTGTGTTTATATGCCTTTTCCATTTCTGAGTAGAGGATGGCAGATACTAAAACTGACATGCTGTGCTTGAAATAAAAGAGGCTGTTGTGTCAGCTACTGAACTAAAATTGCTTGGTTTTGTAAGAACAAAAGTTCCTGATTCCCACCACTGAGCATATTTCAAATTTGCTTGTTGATTAAAGATCTGAAGGTTTACTTGGTAGCTGTGATACTGACATATTCCTTTAAAACATGTTAAATGTTAATGGAAATATTTGAGAATATGGCCACTTGAATATCTGTACTGTTCAGGAGTATTTTTGTCCTGTTTTATTTATTACTTCCTATAAGTGTTTTAGCTGAGTAGCTAGTATAGGAATCCTTGATCCTTTTCATAGGTGTGTAGTTCTCTCTGACTTTGGTTTTGTACTTTTAAACTAGTAAAAAGTACAAGGATGTGATTTATAATTTAATATTTCCCGCAAAATAATTTGCCTGCTTTTCTTACATTTTATTCTTTTGCCGTATCAAACTGCCAAGAAAATTTAGGTTATTCAGAGTGTCCTTATATTTAAGATGTGCTTTTCTCTTTCTATTTTGATAGCTGTACCATCAAAGCATTGTAGTTTGGCTGGATGTTTTACAATGGATTTCACAGTGTTAGGAGCATTGCTAACATTTTAGTTGTGCCAAATAACTTAGAATCTTGTTTCAGAACATGAAACAAGATGATCCACTGAAAAGCAGCTATTGTGAGGGAAATGAAGAGAGGTAGGACTGTAACCTCTCTTTGAAGTGTTATGTCCTAACTAAAGTTAGAGACCGGGAAACTGGACAAATTGTGCGTTTGAGAGAATTTGTGTTAGGAAGTAAGAAGGCTGTGCACGTCCCAGAAAAATAATTTTCTATCTGATTCCCTGTGTGGAAAAAGGATTAAAAAGACAAGGATTTTCAGACTCTTTTTCCAGGCTTCTCAATGCCCACTGTATACAGACCGCTTGTGAATAAAAGCCACCAACCTGTTTAGAATTGCTGTTTTGCTGACATGATCAAAAGGGAAGGCCTCAGCCTCAGCCTCTGGCCATTATCATTACCATTTTACTATTTTCCTGCCTGCCTGCTACATGGGCTTCCCTTTGCAAATTTTTTTTTCTGTCTTCTGCACAGACTGATTCACCCTTCTCATGCCTCGGAAAATCTTAGTGGGAAAATGCACGAAATTGATGAGGAAGAGAAGGCAGTTACATTTGGTCTTTCCTTTGCTTATTCACAAACATTATTTCCTTTCTGTTGGAGGGAGTTGTTGTTTATGTGATGCTAGTTAACATTTCATATATGTATATAGGGTCCTGACTTCTAACATTTTCTATACAAGTCTTTACAGTACAGCTAACAGTGCTTCTTCCCAACCCCCTGTCTTTCCCTGTTTTACACAACCAAGAGAAAATTCTTCAACGTAATTCACTGTTGAGAATTTAGCAATGACATCTCTTGGCAGAAACAAAAAAAGAAGATATTCTTACCTGAATTTTACCTGGTTTCATATTTTTCTTGTTGTTTCACTTCTTCACTCACTTTGCTATTTAATCTTTGATTGCAGGCCACTAAAGAAGTAATAGAGCGAGAAGCCCCAGGGATGGCCCTGGCAATGCTAATGGGATCACTTAATGTAACTCCTCTGGGCATGCTCTCTAGGTAAGATGTTTTCCTTTGAAATACGAGGTGAACTATTTCCTTAAAAATACGCATTTCTATGTTACTGGTATGAAATGACAATACACAAATAACTGAAGGTTGTCACTGTTATCAAGTCTAGAAGTCTTAGCTTCAGAGAAGTGGCCACATTCCAAGAATGCTAATTGCATTCTCTAATGTAATACCCTTTGTTGTCTCCATTAGACACTGTATCCCCCTGTATTTTCTGTGCCAGGTTATTTGTAATGTTCATGCTTGCTGTTAAACTGCTCTTTTCATCCTAGAGCTGTGGCATTTTAGTGGTGATTGAAGTTCATCAAGTATTAAAATGTTCCGTTTAGCAAAAAACCACTTTGATAAATATAAATGTATTGGTTTGATAATGCTTTTATTCCAGTATCAGCAAAAGCTCTCTGAGTAAGTTAAATGGTATTTAACCGATGCTTTCAGAGAAATACTTTTAACTTCTAGAGTTTGGTATTTCCTACTTAATAATTAGTAACTGTTTCTCTGCCTGTGATTTCTTTTTTATCAGTGGCATCTCTTTTTACTGGGTATTCCTTTCTGGAGTTGAATTTTAGTTTATTCCTTCAATTTACCTCATTTTACATATGATAGACTCAGTAATATTGATACCTTTCATAAAAGGTAGTTTGTGCTTGCATGTTATTTCAAGGTAAATAAGAAACAGTGTCTGTTGCAGGTTTTTTATTTCTTCCTGTATAATGATGGTATAACAAGAAAATAATTATATAAGAAATAAAGAAGGAGCTTCCAAATCTGCAACTTTGTATTCAGATACTTTCTTTTTTTAAAGGACATTTAGATGAGAGGTTTAGTGATTCAACCAGGTATTTTAAAACTTTTCATATCACTTATCGTGTATCTGAAAGGGCAGCATTAGCAAATTAACACCTTCAGATTCTGTCCAAGTTAGCAGTTATTTTCATTTTCTTTAGCTGTTTGTTACAATTTTTTTATATCATAGTTTGCGTTTATCTGAAGGGAAAAGGTAGTAGAATGCTACCATAAGTAGAGGAAGGGTTAATTTTGCTGTTCTGTTTCTGATCAAGAAAAGGATTGCTATGTAAATGACGCTACCAAGTTTGATTTAGGACGTGGTGTGATCAGGATGTCTGCAAGAATGTTGTAATGGTGGTGAAACCAAAATGCTGGATTGTAACCTGACACTTCTGTACATATAGAAAGAATGTCCCTTAAACAACAGCCACATTGAGTAGTAATTGATGACTACTGTGATAGGAGATAACATTGCAAAGATACTGCATGCAGTGATATTAGGGCTTTTAAAATTTTCCAGTAAGAATTTTTACTTCAGGCCTGAAAGCAATCAGCATGCAAAGGCCATAATTTTTGTAACACTTTTCAGATCATAAAAGTTAAGTACACAAAAATTACAAAATTACAGCATTATGGTTTCAGTTCTGCATGAATGCACATGTGTGATGATTACGTTTTTTTGTAGAATTCATCTGCAAATGCTTAGGGTGGAGGAAGGAAATTTACTTTCCTTTGTTTTGGTTGTCCAATGTGTAATCCTGTATCAGGTTTAGTGCTCTTTATTCAGAATCTTCTCTGAATGCAGACTCATTTCCTTTGAGATTTTTCTTACAGCATTTGTTATTTAAGATAGAAATTGTTAATATAGTTTCATTAAAAAATCTGCAAATTGAGGTAGTGTTGTAATCCTCTTTTACAATGAGAATTAAGGCACACATTAAGAGAGGTGAAAAACATATGCTAATTTTAGGTACACAGATTGAGAAATGTAGATCCTAATTTTTCAGAGTAGTTAACATTAAATGTCACGTGTCCTAAGCTTACCTCTCATTGACTTCACTTTGAAATGAAGTTCTGATGGATAATTTTGCATGTGATTTCTTTGACTTTTCAAAAAAAAACAAAAGCAGAAGTTCCGTTATGCAACATTAAGATGACACTTCTATAAATCACCTGCAGGCTTGGAAATATTAGGTCAATCATGTTGAATTTTATCACATGAACTTCTAAAAATTGTTATAAATTACAGACTGTCTTTCTGACTATGGGCCAGCATTAGGAAGTGGTGAGTTATCTTGTAGACTGCATTCACAGATGGCAAATGAGGAGCATTGAGACTCTTGTAGTTTGGATTGAGTCCCAAGGTCCAGCAGGGAGTATCTTTGACCATCATAGACCTTTTTATGTGTTTCCTGAAAGTGTTTCCTTTTCTTCTCTGTGAGCTTCCAAAGTGGTCCTTGTCCCAAAATTATCTCTTTCCTTCACCCAGCTCCTTACCTGTCAATTACCCATGCTGTGCCAGTCTTTATTGAGGCTTTTTAAAGTACTCCCTGTCTCCTTGTCCTTCTATTCTACTTTTACCAGCATAGTTTCTTCCCAGGGAAATCCTGGGGTTTTTTCAGAGATCATGATCTTCTGCATCAGCCCTGTAATTCTTTCCTCCCACATCCATTTTGTCCATTGTTTTTTTTCTCCCACATCCTGTGTTTCCTTCCACTCACTTGCTTCTATTTCTATTCTTCTTTCTTAGACTTTGGGTTTTTTTAAAGTTTCTGTCCACTGCATCACAAGGCTGAGGATAATATGAAGTCCACAGCATCTCCCTCAACTGTTCTGTATTTGGAGGAATATCGTCAATTTGTCTCTCCAATTAGCCAGAATGAATGCGCATTTTATATGCTTTTATGCTACGAGCACACACAATAGTTTTTGCAAGCCATGCAGTTCTTAAGTTCTTTTACTTAATTTTACATGCTCTCTTGAGAAATTTTTGGCAGCTTCATTTCTGTCTTGAGTCACTAAATTTGATTATTGGCAGCTGAAACTTGTAGCTTTTGGGAGAATGGCTGCTGGTTTAGTCCTTTTTTATTACTGGTTGGTTGTACTGGTTATTTAGCTTATAATGTTTGAAATTATTTAAAGCAGAATAAAAAAGCCAAGAAGAAGATTATTAAGGCAACTATCTGCCAAACACAATTCCACCTCATTATAATTCCTTTGTGAATAATTTCTATTTCCTTTTTTTTGAATCTGTCATAAACTGTATCCCATAAATGGGATTTGCTGGACTGAGTTTGTACTCTCTAAGTTTGGCTACTGCAACAAGAGTAAATGAGCAATTTCTTTTAATTAGGCTCTTCATCTTTGTATTTCAGTAGTATTTCAGTATATATTCAATATATATTCCTCAACTACCTGGAATTGTTTCTTAACACAAATGGTATAGTGTTGAAGAAGTGAATATAGGAAAACAGAGGCTTGGAATCATTCAATAGTCAAGCTGCCAGTTGAAATAAGACTTGTCTTCAGGCTGGCTTGACTGTGATATCAAAAGTTCATTTTGTGGCAGAAAAAAGGTCTCTGAGCTATTTAACTGTAAGCATTATGACAGCTGTCACTAGAATGCTTGCTACCATGCTAAAAAATGCCATGCTACCTATAAATTACATTAATCACTGAGACTTATTTGTATAAGAATAAATCCAAGGGAAGCTGGCTACGCCACGGATCATCTCCTTTGGCTCAAAGTTGGTTTTAATGCCCTATTAAGAAATTATTTTCTCTTCTATTCTGTCTTCACTTATGGCTCCTGTTTTTGTTTGATAAAGAGATTGTTGTTACACAGTTTCTCTCAACTGTAGCCTCCATATCTCTGTGGTTTGGTTTTGTCCTTTTACTTTCTTGTCCTTATACTGAGGCCTGAGTTTTTCACCACCCGTTTTATAAGCACTAGAGAAAAGCAAGAGGCGCTTTTTACAACCTCAAGGCAAAATCCAGTGATTTTAATTTACTTTTTCTTGAAAAATATTTAGCTGAAAGAAGGAAGAGGCAAACTCCAAACAACAGAAAACATTCAGCAGTTGGGTGTTCTAGTTCAGCCCTCCAACACCAAACAAATTCCTGAAGACAAAAAATAACATAAAATCTTCCATCTTTGATGGTTGGTTCCCTCTTTTGATGGGGCCAGGGGGGAGACTGTCAGAAAGAATTAGATACGAACTGCATAAGTGCATAAGTGCAATTTTCACTTGGGAATTACTTCCCTACATGCTTTTTTTACATTGTATCTCTAAAAAAAAGAAAACACACTTGAATTAATGCAACCAGCATGACTTAGTAATTTTGCCTGGCAAGGGAAATAGTTTTTGACACTATCGATTATGTTACAAAGGAGCCATGTGTATGAGCAATTAGGGACTATATCAGAGCGTAGTAAGGAAACAGAATTATGGAAGCCACACAGATCTAAAAAAGGACAGAAATCTAGCCAGTGTTTATACTATCAATTAAATGTTAGACTCTATCAGCCTTGTTTGATGCTTTTTCAGCTCAGCGTTTACTGAGCTGTTTTATGAGGACATGGGCAATGAATATTTTTGGATGTTTTGTAAGTTTTGTAAGTTTACAAATTCTGATAAATAGTCAAATTAATCTTAAATGCTTCATTCTTGTTTCTACAGTGGAAAAATCTGCATGCAAGAATTTCACTCTGGGTTTCTTTCTTTTCAGACCTGTGTGTGGAATCAGAGGAAAAACTCTCATAATTAATCTACCAGGTAGCAAGAAAGGGTCACAGGTAAGAAGTATTCTTACTGATCTGCTACTGAGGACCCATGATGAGTACCTCCCATTGTTAATGGTATAAAGTATCCATTGCAATAAATTTTACAAAAGCAAATTGAAATGCATATTCATATAACTGAACTCATCATCACTCTTAGGGCTGATACAATTCCATTCTGATTGAAGGTACTGTGTGACCAGGACAGCATTACATGTAGTGCAAGAGAATGCTCACTGTGAAAGTGCTAATAAAATGTTTAATGGTCCCTTACACTTCCTCTTCTCTAGTCAGTCTGTACCCTGATCCCTGTGCTGTCTGCAACTTCCAAGAAAGTGTTCTTTTTCACACAGAAGAGGAAGGCATACTGTATGGTAGAATATGCTGGAGTATGAAGAGCATTTCCAGTTCTGGTCAGGAAGAGGGAAAAAGTGGAACATAGATTTTAAGAGTTTAAGGGTATTTTAGATCTTTTTGGATATGGGGACCAGACTTTAAACCCTTAGTGCAGGCTGTTTTCTTCTTGTATTTTGCTTGGTTTGGACAGAGAAGTTAGGCTTTATGGTTTTATTCATGCTTTCTGACTGTAAAGCTGAGGGAAACAGAATTAAACACCGGGGGAATTTTTGTGTGTGTTAATCAGGCTTGATCATTCCAGTGGTCTTTCTTTCTGTGTAATTGGCTGATAGATCTAGAAAAAAAGCCTTTTCCATACAAATACTGGCAAGCTGGATAGTGGGCAGTACAATGTAATACAAAACTGCTAAGGTAGATTTCCCATCAATCATGAGATCGTATTTCTTCAGGGCTCAGACTAGGTGAGTGGCCTTGTTAAAATATGTCTTTACCTCTGGCCTCTAACAAATGTGTACCTCGTAGTTTATCAATGTCTTCTGAACCAGTGGTACCCAATCACAGAAAAGACAGTTCTAATGTGTTTGGCAGCACAGCCCTGAAGTCACTGTTGCTTGAAAGACTTATGTCTGGAGATAAATAAAGAATGTTTATGGAGGCTGTCACCTGGAAGTTGAAGAGGAAATGTTTCGAACACTATTATCTTAAGCAGCCGTCACAGGTTTTCAGATATATTATCTACATATTTCAGTTCAAGAGCTCAGTAAGCCCTCCTATGATTCTACCATTACGAAGAGTCTTTTTGTGAAATATAATGAGACTCTGTAATTGAAAAGAAATGAAAAAGCCTTCAAAACATACAACAAGCATGGTGGGGCAGGAGTATACCTACTTGAAGGTCTTCCACTTGTGAGTGGGAAGTTATATGTATGTACACAAATATAACATAGCAATGGGCCCCACATCTTAGAGAACTGGTGCACCTGTAAGAAGATTTTTCAGCAGTTGATACTTTTTTTGTTGGATTATCAAAGAGATGGGATAGCTTACAATTTCTAACAGTTTCTGTTGTGTTCACTAGCACTCCTAACATGGTAGGTACAGAAAAAAAACTTGTTTTCTGCCCTGAGGGTCTCAGACTGTAGAGGTAGGTGTATTGTAGAAAGAGGATGAGGAAAAGAAATGAAAAAATGTTAATAAGTATTTCAACAATAGTTTAAGTCATAAAAAAGGTAATTCTGTTGGAAAAGAAGATAGTGTCATATGATTTCATTATAGAAGCAAGCTTTTTATAAACTGATGATTTATTTCTTCCTTTCATGATACTCTGTTCTATCACAATTTGTTTTAATATGAAACATCTTTAAAAGCATCAGATTTCAGCAAAGATTTTTAAGATGAATAGTAGAGAAAATTGTTCCGTAACAGGCTGGATCTCAAAAACCAAATAGGACAGGTTGTTGCCAGGAATCTTTTTCATTTCTCTCTTTTATGACTTGCTAATTTCGTTTCCATCATATTAATACAATCATATAAGAAGCTTCCATAAAGCTATGAAATTTCAGCAATATACAGATTTGATTAATAAAATATTAAAATACTAATAGAAAATGTTCCATCTCAAAAATGGGCACAATGCATACCCAACATGTTTTCTTCAGAGAATGTGTGGCGTGCACAGTGGATCAAGATCTGTAAATACTTCCATTTTTCTGTTGTTCTGGTCAGTTTTCTTTTCTTTTAGCCTTGCAAAAGGTATTTTATGTTATAAAAGAGAGTGAAGTATGAAATTACCAGATTTCATTGAAATTTAGGGGTCTATGACAATTTTTCATAATTGTACTAACAAGTGCCTAAACCAATGAGTTTTACAAATAACATGAGCTTTGGACTAGTTACTGGGAATCTATTCATCAACAGTCAAGCCAACAAGGCTTTATTTCGGTGGTAGGAGGGGAGCACGCTTCTCTGAAAAATGAGTCCTTAATTATTTTTTCAATATTATTGGTCAGTTCACCAATTTTTGTCGTTGTTTACCACTCACTTGAGGTTTGCTTTTTCACTGACGTAACGGTGGTTGTGTGCTCCAGTACTTTAAACCATTTAAAAAATAGTACTGTAGAGACACAAAAACTCTGAGGTTTGCAGTTACATTAGAAGCTATAATTATTATGCTTGCAAATATATTTTAGTATATATTCATTATATACAGCATCTTATGTTAATCTAGTTTGTTATCAAGTAGTCTGACTTTTCATTACTCTTAAAAGAGTGACTGAAAGGTGGGTTCTTATTGAGAAGCTTTGAGGAAATAGTGAGTCATGTTTTTGACTTACACAGTGGCTTGTATAAACTAGTGATTTCTGATGGATGGTTTGCTCTTTATTTTGTTTACATAGGCATTTAAAAAAAATTTGTTACAGTATCTATTTACAAAATATTTATCATTTTTTATTTACTGGATATCTTCCTTATGCTTGAAATGAAACTGAAAATGATGTACAACAAAAGGAATAACGTCAGCTTTCTTTGTCAACTTGTATGTATCCCTAACTGCACTGCCATGGCAATGCCTTGTTGTGACCCTGCCACCATTTTCAAATAATTTAATGTTTCTATGCGGTCTGCTCAAATGATATGAAGAAAACCTTTTACAGAGGCGCCTGGGAGACAGAAGTCTTAAGCTGAAGAAGGTAGCTTCCAGCTAGATAAAAAGAAGACAAACAAACTAAAAAACATAATTCACTTTGAGGGTAATTAAGTGTTAGAACAGGTTGTCAAGAATGGTTGTAGAGTCTCTGTTCTTGGATTTTTTTCAAGACTTTGCTGAGCAAAGCCCTAAGCAACCTGTCTGAATTTCATATTGATGCTGATCTGAGCAGGAGCCTGCAGTGTGTGATGTCCTGAGGTTCCTCTTTGATTTAATGAAATACTAGCATATTTTAGCAGCAAAGTGAGTATGCCCATTACAGAACGAGAGCAGTTACACAGTGTCTACATTTTTGCTCTCTCCAGCCATATAAAATAAACATTCCTCTAATTGTTTTTAAGATCACAGAGCAAGGAGAGTTTTGAAAAATAGATAAGTTATGAACAATATTTTCTGAGTTACGTAAAATTATAATTAGTATATTTTGTCATTCTTCCAGTATATGGGATAAGTCCATGAATAAAAAAGGATGTAATTACATGAAAGTATAATTTTGGAAACCCTTATGAATTGTTCTCTAATTGTGAAGGAATGTAATAGGAATGATACGAAGCTAATACCCCTGCAGGGATAGAGTTAATGTTTTTATTCTGCATTTTTGTAGCATTCTGCCAGCTGCCATCTACTGGATTTTGTGTTATGTATTCATGAAAATTTGAGTCTTGTTTTCTGAAGGTTTTATCCAATATTAGCTTAATTACAGTAGCCCCGTTGTACTTTAGAAAGGCAAAAATATATAGTATAGTCCCCAGTTCTGGTTCTGAGTTTTATTTTGCCCTCTGTGAGCAATTGTATAGGGCATTTAAGGTTTTATTTATGATTGGGTGAGAAGATGCATCTAATTCCCAAATACATTTTAAGAGTAAATCTGAAAAATCTGTATTTACTTCTGCAGGTAACTTCTCATAGACATTTCTCTTCTTCTTGTGCATAGGAATGCTTTCAGTTTATACTGCCAGCCCTACCTCATGCCATTGATCTTTTGCGGGATGCCATTGTAAAAGTAAAGGAGGTACACGATGAGCTTGAAGATCTACCTTCACCACCACCTCCTCTTTCTCCTCCTCCAACCACCAGCCCTCACAAGCAGACAGAAGACAAAGGAGTACAATGTGAGGAAGAAGAGGAAGAGAAGAAGGATAGTGGAGTTGCCTCAACAGAGGACAGTTCTTCTTCACATATAACAGCAGCAGCCATTGCAGCTAAGGTAAGTCTGGCTTGTTTCCCTGAGAGACCCTTTGTTTCTATCTCAGGTACTTTCCACCAATCTGCATGTTAAGACTATACCTTGATGTCTGTGTGGTCAAAGACATATATTTTAGGTATGTTCTGTAGAAATATTGCTTTGTAAAAATATATGAATCCTGTTTCAGTAGATGATTTCAAATTTCAGTGGGAGATACATTGGTTATTGTTATTGTTATCTTGATGATACCATGCATTTTTATTGTACCATTCTGATGTGACAGACTATTTTTAGTGATTTTCAAAGTACTCACACACCTGAACATGTGAAGTCCAATAAATGGCATATTAAGAAAACACAACAGGATTTTTTAAGCCATGATATTTATTTTGAAAAGAAAATGTTGGTTTCTAAAAACATTGATAAAAAGTAGGACAGATAGGTAGCAGATTAAGTAATAAGCTATCCAGACTACTGTATTCCAGTGTGCATGTCCACAGAAGAGATATGAAATTCTGCCTCAAAACTAATAAGTGTCATCACATTTTCTTGATAACCGTGTTTTAACCAGCAAATCATAGATCAACATTACTCAAACCAAAATAATAAATTTGAGACTACAAAAGGGAAAAATCAGATAACACTTGCAAATCATTTGAGTTGAAATTTTAAATGTTTCCCAAAGAAATATATTATTTGAAGCAATATATAAATATGTACCTCAGTTTTGTCTTCAGTTTTCAAATGGAAAGACAATGTATTCCTACATATCTGGCAAGGTTTTTTCCTAAACTGCTTTGTTCAGTATTTACTCCACAAATTGTGCTTTTAATTCCTATTATGAGAATTGAAAGTCTGAGTGACTCAAAATTATATTAAACATTTTCTAAATAAAAGCAGCAACATTCTAACTCCAGAAATGTGAATTCAGGTCTGAGACATCTTGACATTTCTAAGACAGCTGCAGCTGGAGATCATCTCCTCATGTACAGAAAATCCTGATTACATATATCTTTACAGGGATGACTTAAGGTAATTATTACTTGCAAGTTTCAGTTTTTATTAATGAAAATTTAAAATATCTTAATTTCTTTTGATATAGGCAAAAGTAAATAATATATGCCATTTTTAAAGGCAGAAAATACCTGAGGTCTAAACTGGCTGTGTTCATATGAGCTTGGCATTTCAGTGTCACACTTGTTTTTACGTCATTCCTTTTCAGTCATTGGCTTGTATAGTTTCATGTTTTCCTGTCACTGTATTCATAGCTGTTATGTGTTGTGCATTAGAAGCATCCATCCTACACCAGTTCAGCTGTTATCATGGCAAAAGGTGAACAGCCCATCCCTGGTCTCATCAGTTATTGCCATCACGCAGCAGGCAGTGCAGAAGACCTGGTAAGAGACAATTCCAAGAGGCTTTTGCACTAACAGTAGCTAAAAATACACTGCCTGCCTCCTAGTCTACTGTGTGAACAGACAGTGTTGTTTATTTTCTTCTAACCAAGACACAGCAGTGCTATCTTTTAGAGAACACGCTACAGAAAATACTCTGTTTAAGATACAGGGCTAAACAAGGTAAAGCTTGTGCTGAGATAGTCATTGCTATAAAGCCTTTTTCTGATTCGTCATCGGCTTTGTCATCGAATAGACTCAATAATTGAATGTAATTAAAACAATCCCCTAAAAATTACTGCTTTATTGCTATGAAATTTTGGTAACTTTTCCCCCTTCGTTTGCTTTGCTTTGCTTTGCTTTGTTCTCAATATTTTGTTTGTCAACATAATACAGCATTTGCACTGGGTATTCATAGTTTGTTTTCATCACTTGCAGTTTCTCCCTTATTTTTGTGTTCTGTTTAACAGTAGAATTTCTCAGAAATGGAAGAAAAGACTTGAGGAGTCAGGATACTGTGGTTTTATTGTAAATTACTGAATTTTAGGAATAGCAGGCAACCTTTGGTAGAAAGGACTTAGTTTGTTACATCCCAGAGATTATAACTTGGGCTCTAACAAAATATAATACTTCTTATATTTCTGCCAAAGGCTTAGTCTAGGCTTGAATCAAGATTGAATAATGACTACAGTATCATCAGGAATGGAACATAGTTTAGTGTATTCATAACTGTAGATTAGAGAAACCTAAAGAAGGATTCAGTCTAGGGAGACTTGTCCGACCTGTTCATCCCATGTTAGTCAGCAAATGGGGCGTAAGTTCTTGTGAAAATGTCACTACATTTGATTTAAAACATGGTGACCGTGTCTCTTGAAAAGTGACTTAAGAAATGTGAAGGCATTAAAGTTCACATACCTGATGACAAAGCTATGTATGTATACATACATACGTACACATCTATTCCAATATTTTCATTTTTTTGAGTTGAGGTTACTAAACAACAATTTGCACCATATTCTTCAGGATGAGTAGAGCAGTGAATTCAGCCTCTCTGATGCGTGCTGTTAAGCTGTCATCCAAGCTTCTCTGTCCTTTTGCTATTACTCTTAAGCTATTGTTTTTTGCATTCTATAATCTAATTCAGATCTTCAAACCCAGAGCTGGAAGTGGCTAGTTTTTCAGAAGGTTGTTAGGTTTTTTAAGCTGTCATTTCTCTATGTTTTTAAGACATTTTTCCTCATGTATAACAACCATAGTAATTACCATCTAAGGCTTGTTTTCTTAGTACCTCACCAGCACTGTCAATCTCTATTCCAGTCCTGGGCAAAAGAGACTAAATCTCATATCTTTTCCTTTTCCCATTCTTGTCAACAGTTAGTTCTCTATTTTGAAAATACAAATATTTAAACCGATGTAAAAGTTCTTCTGGAAAGGTAATATCAGATAAAAATTGTAGAAGTAATGACTGATGGATGAGGTCTGTATCTTTCTCTGTCACTTCGTTTGTTTCTCATTCATTTCTTTCTCTGTCATTACATTACAACAGGTTTTCCACCCCACCTAGTGTAAACAGAAGCTGTCTTCACTGACCTTGGAGTGTTGGTTTACTCCAGTTAGAGTTTTGAGACCTCTACCCTCTATATTAAATTTTTTTGAAACTGGAAAATTAGCTGAAAAAGTTTAGGGGGAGATATCATAAATAGTCAGGATGTGACTTTGTGAAAGCTTATTATCTCAAATGCAATAATATTCATACCCTTCTTTATTGAGGATTTCCAGGCTCCAGGAAACACAGAAATTTCTCATAAGTTTATCAAGGTCTTTAACGGGATTAACAAGAAGTTGGCTTGATTAGAGACTTAAATTGCTTAGATTTAATTTTTAAAGGAAAATCTTACCAAATGTAGGTGAGAAAAATGAGACATTCCCCATATCACATAACATTTGCATAGGAATACAAATCGTATTCTGTTGTCCCTTTCACCTGATGAACAGTAGATATCCATTGTATTTTTTAGGTATTTATGTTTATGCAGTATACATGTTAGTACCTTCTCTGAAAACAGCAAGTTGTAGGTTTAATGAGAATATTTATACTGGTTTTATAATACAACACACTGTCAGAGAAGTAAAACTCTCGGGAGCAAAATTTCTTAGTCTGAACTAACTTAATTTTCTCAGTGAGATTTTGTGTCTGTGAAGGCTAGCAAGAAACTGAGAGTTCTAGATTGGTTTATATATGGATTGGTTTATGGCAATTGTCTTTTCTGTAAAGGCAGAGATGAGGATATAATTCTCATTGAAATGAAATGTCTGTAATCATTTTTTCTCTTTGTCTTCAGCTTCCTTTTATGATTAGTATCCTGGCTGAAATTTTGCTTAAATTTTAATTTTCTCACAGGCAAAAATTAGTACTTCACATGCAATTCAGTGGAGACTAGAATTGTCTCAGTCACTTTGTTGAGAGTTTTTTGTTCTGAAAAAGGTAGTATCAGGTAAAATTTTAGAAGCAATGATTGATAGATATGGTGGGTACTAAAAAATACACCGAGCAGTTACTTGCCTGAAGGGAATGAGACAATGTTACTCTAGAATAACCAGGGTAAACCCAGTGGACCAATAGACAATCATATCAAGATGTGTGCAGCTTTTTTTCAGAGGATAAAGAAACGGTGTCTTATTTGAAGCATTAAAACTATTTTTTCTCTTATTGTGTCTTTTTTATTTTATGCCTTTAGCAAAATGTAATTTTTTGCTGTATTGTCCTTAGTCACGGAGATTAAAAGGAAGCATTCAAATTTCTAGATAGCATTGGAGCTCTGCCAAGTATAAAACTTTGGGATTTTGTTTTTTTTCTTGTGTTTAACATGTTTAAGATGGGATTTCAGGAGAAAAAGAGAGCAGAAGGGAAATGGTACTTCTGACTACAAACTGTTTGCATGATAAGAATATCATTGTCCTTGTTTACCTCTATTTACTATTATTCACAGTACACCTCTAAGATGCTATTCGCAAATCAAACCTACTCCAAGTAGAGGCCAGTTATGCACTGTTCCTGGAGAGGAAGATATCCTCAGCATAATAGTCCATAGTGAAGAGAAACTTCTGACTTCATAATTTATAGTGGAAACTGCAGCAGAAGTTACTTAGCCTTGAAAAATTCTCTGAGGAAAGTTAGGGTTTTTTTCAAATGCTGACAGAAATTGACTGGCAAAGAATACTTTCAGAAATACATCAGTAGAGCAGAAAGCAGGCAGCTTTTGGTACTCTGAGAACAAGGTCTCTTTCCACACAATTTATAAACAGGTTATAAACATGAGAAACTCTAAAGTGTGGAGGAGGTTTTGTGGTAAAACAGGATCCCCTAGGTATAACCCAGTATCTCTAAGACAAGGTTGCTAAGTTAGACATAGTCATTATTTCTAGATGGGAACCAAGGAAGTTGAGAGGGAAAAAAATTATGTAAAAAAGCAGTATTTAATGACTTTAATGAGTGTTAAGATTGGTCATTTTAATTGCACAGAGATAAGCAACAAAGCCGTCAATATCTTATCACTGGTCCTTAGGATGCAACAGATTTTAAAATCTAGGATTCAAGCTTGTTCCTGGAAGGAGGTAGTTTTCAGTGGCTTCTATTTGTGCTAAAGCCCTGCTAGGCAAGAATGTTCAAAATGCCTCTATGCACACTGGGTCCTGCATCTCCATTATAAAAAAATATAATAATAAAATCTTGGCCACAAATGTCCAATGTTTGTGGTTTGACTTGTCACTGGATCTTCGTCTCTTGCTTCTTTTTATTGTCTGCTACTGCCATTTCTCCCAAATATGGGGGTTTGTTTGGTGGTTCTCTTGGAACTTGAACATTCTTAGGTGAGCTAAGAAATTCTTAATGAGAAGAAAGATCTTAAAATACGTGTACATATATTCCTTCAAAGATCTGAATTTCTATATTTCCTAGTCTGTTATAATAGAAAAGTGAATTGCAGGAAACAAGAGCAATCTGATCTGGTAGAAGTGGGGCCTCTGAAAAAAGAAGAGGTTAAAATTATGAAAATAAAATTAGAATAAGCCTTTGTAGAGAGTGTGTTATAATGTAATATCTGCTGCATTTTGTGTTGCGGAACTAATGTTAGAGATCAATTCTCTTACCTGAGGTATTTATCATTTCTGTGTCTTACCATTTTACACACAAAAAAAAAATTAAAATTATTCATCATGTTAAACTAGCAATGTAGTCAATTATAAAGCTGGTGAGATATCAGTATTACTGGGCTAAAATACTGCAGTAATAAGAAGCAACAGACTTTCTTAGACTTGTTATATTAATGCTAAGAAAAGCTCTATTCTTAAATGCATTCTTCTACCTCACTTCTTTGGAACTGGTGATAAAACTCAACAGAAGAGACAGAAGATAAAAAACAATGATAGATTCACTTTTATAACAGAAAATAAGACCATTTTGTCACCATTTTAAGATGTTGTAATTACATTTTTTTAAGTTGCTTAATAATGCCAGCTAAGGGATCTGTCCCTAAAATTCCAGCTTAGAAATAGATTTATGGAATTGTAGAATAGTTTGGGTTAAAAGGAACCTTTAAAGGCCATTTAGACCACAAGGCCCTGCAATAAGCAGGGAAATCTGCAACTAAATCAGGTTACTCAAAGTCCTGTCCAACCTGACCTTGAATGTTTCCAAGGATGAGGCATCTACCACCTCTCCAGGCAATCTGTTCCACTGTTTCACCATCCTATTGTAAATAATTTCTTCCTTCTATCTAGTCTAAATCTACTCTCTTTTAGTTTAAAACCATTACCCCTCATCCTACTGCAGTTCGCCCTACTAAAAAGTTTGTCACCACCTTTCTTATAAGCCCAATTTAAGTACCAAAAGGCCCCAGTAAGGTCTTCTAGGAGTCTTCTCTTCTCTGGGCTGAACAACACCAACTCTCAGCCTTTCCTCATAGGAGAGCTGTTCCTTCCCTCTGATCATTTTTGTGACCCTCCTCTGGACCTGCTCCAGCAGGTCCAAATCTTTCCTGTACTGAGGACTCTAGAGCTGGATGCTGTACTCTGGGTGGGGTCTCACCAGAGCAGAATAGAGGGGCAGAATCACCTCTCTCAAATGCTGGCCATGCTCCTTTGGATGCAGCCCAGGGTACGGCTGGTTTTCTGGACTGCAGGCACACACTGCTGGCTCAAGTCCAGTCTTTCATCCACCAGTACCCCCCAGTCCTTCTCTCAGGACTGCTTTCAGTCCCTTCATCCCCCAGCATGTATTGCTACCAGGGGTTGCCTTGACCCAGGTGCAGGATCTTGCACTTGGCTTTGTTGAACCTCATGAAGTTCACATGGGCCCACTTCTCAAGCTTGTCCAGGTCCATCTGGATAGAATCCCATGCTTCAGACATGTCAACCCCACCACTCGCTTTGGTGTCATCTGCAGACTTGTTGAGGGTGCCCTTGCTCCCGCTGTCTATGTCATTGATGAAGATAGAGGGACAGCATTTGTCACCAGTCTCCATATGGACATTGAGCTGTTGACCACTACCATCTGAATGCAAACATGCAACCAGTTCCTCATCTACCGCACATCAAAGCTGTATCTCTCATTTAGAGAGAAGGATGTTGTGGGGGATCATATCAAAGGCCTTGCAGGAGTCCAGGTAGACAACATCTTTAGCTCTTCCCTTGTTCACTGATGTAGTGAGTCTATCATAGAAGGACACTAGGTTGGTCAGGCAAGACTTTCCCTTGATGAAGCCATACTGACTGTCTCCAATCACTTCCCTGTCCTTCACATGCCTTAGCATCACTTCTAGGATCTGTTCCATGAACTTCCCAGGCACAGAGGTAGGCTGACAGGTCAGTTGTTCCCAGGGTCCTCCTTTCTACCCTTTTTAAAAATGTATGTAATATTTGCCTTTTTCCAGTCACCAGGGACCTCACCTGACTGCCATGACTTTTTCATATATCATTGGCAACTGCATCGGCCAATCCCTCAGGACTTTGAGATGCATCTTGTCAGGTCACGTAGACTTATGCATGTACAGATTCCTCAGGTGGTCACAAACCTGTCGTTCTCTTACAGAGGGAGGAACTTTGCTCCTCCAGTCCCTGTCTTGCAGTCCATCCACTCAAGAGGTGGAGGAAGAGAGGTTGCTAGTGAAGACTGGGGCAAAAATGTTTTTGGGTGCCTCAGCCTTTCATCCATTGTTACCAGTTTGCCAGTTGTGTTCATCATGGAGGTAAACTTTCCTAGCTGGTCTTCATTATGTGAAGGAGAAGAAAAAAACAAAACCCAAAAACAAACAAACAAAAAAAGGATTAAATTCTTATTTTTCTCTTTGGCATGCATTTTAAACCAAGTGAGGCTTTGGATGGTGATTTCTAGTGCTTTTGCCTGTACTCCCTCCAGAGAGGCCTGCAGCTTTTGCAGCACAAACCTTACCTCAAGAATTTTTGTAGCTGAAGTAAAGTCTTCAGTATATGAAGAGTGTTTACTCACTGCATGACATTTCTGATGAGAAATTTTCTCACTGCATGACATTTCTTCAGAGGGATTCAGTCATTGCTAATAAATGGTTTTCTGTTCAGAATATTGTCCCCTAGTTAGAGAATGGGAAGTCTGCCTCCCTTCATGCCACAGTAGAAATAACCATTGGTCATTGTTGGGTTTGAAACAGAGGCTTAAGAGGAAAAACATTACTTTCTTACTATTTCCGTCATAGTATGTCTGAGTCATAGGTTTATCAGGAGAAATATATGTTCTTTGCTACTTCAGTTAGAATATAATCTTACATATTTGCTGGGTGTTTGTAACTGAAATTATGAGAACATGCCATTAACCACTGCCAGCACTGAGTACGAGAAGGTACGCAGACTGAGAGTGGGGTGTTCCTGTGTTTTTTATGTGAGGTTTTGAGTAAGTTTTCAATATGGATAATTGTTACTATTAATTCCATCTCTCTTCTTTTTAAGATTCCAGATTCCATCATCTCTCGTGGTGTTCAGGTGCTCCCACGTGATACAGCCTCCCTCAGTACTACTCCTTCAGAATCTCCTCGTGCCCAGGCCACCTCTCGTCTCTCCACTGCATCCTGCCCAACACCAAAAGTAAGTACATTGATGCCTTTGCAAGCTCCATGCTTAGCTATATAATCTGTCAGATTAATGTATTGCCTCTGCTGAACAAGTTTGGTTTGCATGCAAGGATTGTATCATTCTAAGTAATAGACAAATGCAAGACAGTATAGTTCATTCCATGTGTACTGTTGCACAATTTAAGGTGTGGGTCCACCAACATGTTATGGTTACTGAAGTTTCGTGTTACCTCTTACAATATCAATCATGAATATGAAATTGTTAACACCATGGATGTCTTTAATATTCCCAGGAACATAGATAGTCCTGCCACTGAGTAGCAACATTAAGCAAGTAGTATTTTGTCAATAAAATATATGTGCGAATTTCTAGCCTGGGCTGGGGCAGTTCTGTGCCTCACTTTATCATAAGACACTTTCAAGCCAACTGGTTTTGCACAAACCTAGATATTTGCTGCCTGACATTTGGAAACAAAAAACAGCCTAAATTGAATAGAAAGAAAGTTTTAATGCCAACCTTATGGGATTATTATTCAGTTCTTACTGATTACGCTGTAGTACTTAATCATTGAGGTGAACTCTATTATGTTCTCTTTCTATCAAACTTTAATTAGGACACATCAAAAACTAAGTGAATTGACCAGTGGCAAGGCCTGAGATGTTTACTTTCAGAAGGATTCCTTTCAGCAGAAGAAAACTCTGTCTGAATTCGCTTTGTGTGTTCACATCACAAAGATCTTTCTGTGGCACCAGTTGCTGACATACTAATAGACCCATAGCAGATGGCAAACAATAACATTCTTCCTCATCTAATTCATGATCCTTGAAGATTATTCTGCTTGCTAAGGTGATTGCCAGCATCTGCTAGGTCTTCTTTCCTGCTGTCTCCTTGTTTTCTGTCAGCAAACAAGATTTATTGGCAATCACCCATAGAAATGTTTTAATTTAGCCTGTGGGATTGTTTTATGCAGTACTCACCTTCACTATGATAGAAGAAAAATTATTCTGATGGACAGCATATTTAAACTTCATTATATAGTCTACTTGTCTTAAGAAGATACTCAGTGAATTCTATCTGCAAGTGGCTCCTTCATTTTTTTGCTAAGAATTTGTCACTTGTCTGATGGCTTAAAAATCAAACTCAGAGCTTATTACATTGGAACACTCAGGGTAGAAGAGCTATATGAAACGGAGAAACTGCACTGAGTTTTATGCCTATTGATAAAACAAGTGTCCGAAGAAAACCAAAGGAGACCAGTAATAGGCATAAGAAAGAGACAACACCGGTAATAGCTCTAGATGTATCCTATCTATTTTCAGGAAGGTTATCACAGTGGGAAGGAGTAAAGCTTATCTGTTGTGAAGCAGAATGCACTCCTCTAGACTATCTTCAAAGATTCAGAAATTACAGAAGGAAACTACAAGAACTTTGAAACAGATTAAAAATCTGAAAGTCTTCTTTGGGTAATTAGTTGACATGAGCTGTTATCATAATAGGATCATGCTTTGGTATTTCATGTTATGCCCTGTTTTTCATCTATTACTGAAAAACCAGGTTTTGTTCAAAATGTTTGAGACCACACCACTTTTATAAGAGGAAGTGCCATGCAACATCTAGCTAGTCTAGCTTTTCTGTGATGTCTTTCAAAAGCGGGTAGTGCAAGCTGATGTAAGGAAAGATCTGGGAAAGCCCAACTGGAAAATAAAGATGAAGTGTGATCTCATCTGTTCCTGTTACCTAGAGGTTGGATTTTGCACAAGAGTATAAGCTTCTTTGCCAGTTAGAGAGCTCTTAGTTAATTTTACTTATTACTTGAAAAATCCAAAACAAACTACTCATCATATTTTTCTTCAGTCCTTTTCAGTACCTACAAGTTCTCAAACATCATACAAATTTGTCAAGAAATATGTTTCATTCATATTCTTTAAGATTGTCAGTATGTCTAAATGTCTTCACTTACTGTGTTTTCCCTTCTGGACTCTGGCTTTCTAGTAATGCAGTATGATTTAAATTTACACCAGATCTTTCGATCCACACTGTGGTGAGATTAAAGACAAATTGTACTTCATTATCCAGTTGATGTTCCAGGGTGGTGTTTTTTTCCTTCTCTAATCTGCAAGTGTGTATCTTTTCAATATTCTCATCTGCTGGTTGAGGAACCCATTTCAGGACTCCAGAACATATGACATGAAACAAAGGAGAGGAAGTTTCAAGGGAAAAAAACAAAACAAAACCAAAAACAAACAACAGTTCAGTTTTCTTTGATTATACATATTGTTTGTAGTGGTGGTTATGTGCCACTGTAGAGCTAGTGGCACTATTTTTCTTTGTCAACAACATATTCCAGTTTATTTTGTTGTATCATTTTCTTGTATTTTTTGTCCTAAATGTGCATAAACCCTTGCATCTCTCTCACTGAATTTGCCGGATAGCAGAAAGTTGAGTGTGTCTCAGAAAAAGAAAAATCAAGCTTCTGCAATACCAGGAGCACCTCTGTTGAATAAATGTAAGTAGTAGGTTTCTAATACAGGAGGTATTGGAGAGAAGGTATGGGAGAGTGTATTACTCATACTCCTGATTGATCTGTTAGGAGAAGTCTTTACCTTTTTATAATTATATTTTGGAAAACCTAATGTTGTATATATATACACACAGATCACGTAAGCAAAACATTTAATTTTAAATTTGCTTTACTGTTTATCTTCCATGTTTTCTGAAACTCTCTGTTTCTAACAAAACAGTAAATGATGAATATTAAGTTTGAACCTGTATGTTTCAATCAGTCCTCAAAAGTTTAATTTCCTCATAAAAGAAATAATTATATTTTTGACTGTAGCCTCTTGGGAGTTCAACTCAAGAAAAATTTCCATTGAGACTACTCTGTCTGTCATTAGGTACATTCCCAAAACTAAGCAAACTTACTTTTGTTGGCTTTTAAGATACCTGTGTGAAACACCTTCCTGATTCTATAAATTGCATTTGAGTTTCAAGCAAAATCCACTGTGGCTCAAAGGTCATTTTAACCGTATTTATAGTAGATGGAATCACATACAGAGGCAGTCTAAGTTTTACTCAGGGGAAAACTGCACTAACAGTCCTCCCTTTTTCAGTCATTCAACCATAAAGTTAATAGTGATTGTGACAGATATTTTTATCTTCTACAATATAGTTTTGGTCTTTTGAAAGTTTTAGTGCTTTGTCAGCAAGGTTAGATGAATTTGTGAATACTCGCATGACAAAAGTTTAGGATGGCACAGTGTGGCTTGCAAGTTTTTCTTGTCTTTTGCAGTAGCTGCTCAGATCTTACTATATTTTTGTGTATGTTTGTGGTCAGCATTTTCATTATGTTAAATGCAATGTTCTTTTCAGATACAAAAGTAATATAATACCTAATGCAAAATACCTTTTACAAATATGGAGAAATTTTTTAATGGTTGCAGTAATGTTGATTCTTGAGACTTTTTTTAAACTTACAGTATAAAATCTTAGATCTATGACTTAAGGTAACTTAAAAGAATATATCCAGAGCAACTGACTGAGTCATTCCTTCAAACTTCTAATTTTGTTCTACTCTTAGTGAGATGATATTAGTATAAAAGAAAATTACAGTTTTCAAATTGACGTCTTCACTTCTCCCATACATAAATGACGTAATCAGTATCTAATTTTTGGCAATGTTGTGTGTCAAAGACAAATGAAGCAGACATAGAAGGCCAGGGGCAGGTTTTGAATTATCACCAGGAACACATTTCAGTGACAGGAGGTGTTCAAAGTATTTCACTTTGCAAGATCATCAGTCTCATTGATGTTCAGTTCTTCCACTTCAATGTGCAGTTTCTTTCAATGTTATCTTTGATCATGAGGGATCCTAAGGAACTTGTTACAGTACTTTTAAGATGAGAGTGTTTTTTTCTTTTTCCATCTTGCTGCTTCATTCCCAACAGTCCTTATATTCTGCTTAAGATAAAATCTCTCTCTACTTTACTTGCTGGTTATCTGTCCTTTCCCTAACTATCCGTATTTTAGTTACACTGAATCAGACAAAACCCTAAATAGTGATAAGTTACATCCTTACCTATTTGTAGTTGTGATAGATAGCTTTTAATTCCTATGTAAGAAAGGTATATAGGCGCACTCTTACACTAAAATCAGCAAGCAAAGCTACTTTTCAGTAGTTTTTTAGATTCTAGCAAACAGACATCTGTCTGCTGCTTCATCCCTGCTTTCTTTATAGCAGAGTATCACTTTCTGTAACTTTCTACAGCTGTCTCCTGTTAAGAACTGTTACCTTTATAATTTGTAAGTTGATATTCACCTAAAGACCTAATATTCCTCATGTCAAAAGTGTTATACATGTTTTGTAAATATTCCAGTTGCAGAGAAATTCTGAAATGAAAAGGCTTAGAAAAATACATACAACTTTTTTTAAAAAGTAAAGAGGCTGATGAGAATTATTTTTGTGGCAAAAAATATTTTATCATCTCAATCATCTCTTATGCTTGCTATCCATGTAAAATGATGCTCTGAACACCATTTGTCATGAACTGTAGCGTTAATGTTGAATATGCACATTGGTGCAAGTTTCTCATACAGCCAAATAAGTTACATATTAGTACTAAACCTAATTATGATTTATGTCTTCAATCTAGTGTTGTGACTTTTAGTATACAACTACTCTCTGAAGTAATAACATTGACAGATGAGCAGGTAGAGTTGGGAATATGCTTTTGTATCAGTTATTGTTACAAAGTTTTCAGTAGAAATATTCAGTATTTTTCAATAGAAGAAAGATCAGGTTGCTTACTAGAAATCCTCCATTAATAGTAGGATGCTGCTCAGGATGTGATATGACAAGCTGTAGTTTTATCCATAGGTAGGTATTTTGTGTACATTGAGCATGTTAAATTTTGTATTTGTCATCTTGATTCCTAGTAGTTCTTTAAGGTGGGCATCAAGGTGAAAACAATATGGCAAGTATAGGAATATATTTTAAAGTTTGTATGCATACACTC